TTTTAGTAGAGACGGGGTTTCACCATGTTGACCAGGATGGTCTCGATCTCTTGACCTTGTGATCCACCCGCCTCGGCCTCCCAAAGTGCTGGGATTACAGGCTTGAGCCGCCGCGCCCGGCCTTTAAATGAATTTTTAAAGAACTTCTTTGAAAACACCATTATCTGAAGATAACTCATACTTTCATGTAACTCAACAGGGTGTGTGTGGGGGGGAGGGGAGGGAGGGAGAGAGAGAAGGTGACAGAGAGGATGTCAATTGAGAAATAGGTTTTTCCATTGTGGTCAGGTGCGGTGGATAATGCCTGTAATCCTAGCACTTTGGGAGGTTGAGGGAGGCGGATCACTTGAGCTCAGGAGTTTGAGAACAGCCTGGCCAACATGGTGAAACCCCATCTCTACTAAAAATACAAAAATTAGCCAGGCATGGTGGCACACACCTGTAGTCCCAGCTCTGTGGACGGCTGAGGCACCAGAATCACTTGAACCCAGGAGGCAGAGGCTGCAGTGAGCCAAGATCATGCCACTGTACTACAGCTCTGGGCTACAGAGCAAGACTCTGTCTCAAAAAAGAGATACTTCCAGCCATACACAGACTCTTGTTTTTTTTTTTTTTTTTTTTTCCTTTTTTTTTTTTCCTTTTTTTTTTTAAAAAAAAAAAAAAGGATTTTTTTTTTTCTATTATTTGGAGCATACTGCTTCAATTATCTTCATACTACTAGTTCCTAGACTAGTTAACAGAAAGAATAAATAGGTGGAGTTTGGAAACAATTTGAAAGAATATGCTCATTGAGACTGAATAAACATTTACTGACCACTTTCTTGATTTCTGTTAACAAAATAGCTCTACAGACTCTCACCTTTTGCTTTTAATATAACTACTGGAATTCCTGCACTTTCCCATATAACTGTAAATCATCAATAATTAGTAAAAAGAAATCTTTTTAGAAACACAAAGGAAATTAACCCGTCTGCTTTTGTAGCAGAGGAAAACATTTTCGGTTTCATAAAAATAGTTCAAAGGGGAGGAGTGATTTGATAAAGTGTTAAATTGAGGCTGGGCATGGTGGCTAATGCCTGTAATCCCAGCACTTTGGGAGGCCAAGGCAGGTGGATCACATGAGGTCGGGGGTTCAAGACCAGCCTGGCCAACACGGTGAAAGCCCATCTCTACTAAAAATGCAAAAATTAGCTAGATGTGGTGGCAGGCGCCTGTAATCCCAGCTACTCAGGAGGCTGAGGCAGGATAATCCCTTGAACCCAGGAGGCAGAGGTTGCAGTGAGCTGAGATTGCACCACTGCACTCCAGCCTGGGCAACAAGAGCGAAACTCAGTCTCAAAAATAAATAAAGTGTTAAATTGAGAACACCGGCCGGGCGCAGTGGCTCATGCCTGTAATCCCAACACTTTGGGAGGCTGAGATGGGAGGACTGCTTGAGTCCAGTTTTTTTCCCCCCCCAAGAACAGCCTGGGCAACACAGTGAGTCCCTGTCTCTATAAAAAAAAAAAAATTTTTTTTAAATAATTTTTTAAAGAGAACATCCACTTGAATCTTACGTCCTGTGTACAATGTAGACCTGTAAATATTCATTTTGTCTGCAATTTGTTAAAAATAATCTGTCCATGAAAGTGTTTGAACAAAAGGGTTTTATCGTTAAGACTCTACAGACTAAAACGTATTGCCATTTTCTATATAATCTTCAAAGAGAAACTTGTAATTCTGGGTTACTATCTTACTTGATAACTTGTTACCCTGTAACAGTGTTCCTACTAACATTTACATTTCTTATTTAGAAGTCCTTCAGTACCCTGTTTTAGCCTCTCCTCAAAGTAGCCTTTCTAGCTGTCAGACCTTTCCTGAAAGAGAACAGGCAATATATGATATACTATTCTAGGTAATGACTAGATATAAAAGAGGCCCAAAACAAACAAAAACAATCACACATCTACGGCTAAATTAAAATCTGATTTGACTTCAATACAACTGGTGTATTTCCTTACAACAAGAAATACAGGGAAGATAATAAACACTATGCACTATAACATCATTTGATCCACTGAGAAATAGTTTTAAAAATACATCTGAAATGCCAAACACCAAAACAAGACCTCTTCCGTCATACTTAATTCATAACAGAATATGAGGAAAAAATTTCAGATGGAAGGATCTACTTACTAGCACGACATGAAGAAATCATATTAGCTAGGCAAGGTATTATGTCTAGTTAAGGATAAAACAACATAAATTATAAGTATGCAAGATTAAAAAAAGCAAAAATCTGAGTTAAAATGGTTTCATTTTGCAATTTTGTATCTGAAAATTCAATAAACCTTATATAAAATAGCATTTTTGATCATCTCAAATTTACAGTATTACTAATATGAAAAGAAAACAATTTGCTTACCCGTTTTATTGTCAAAAAATTTGATGTGTCTATCTTCATGAGCAGTTATTGTAACAGGAAGGGTGGGATGACTTACTACTCTGTTGATATGATTATTAGATTGTAAACCTGAAAAATAAAGGCAATATGTTAAAATTAAAACCTTCAATAAGAAGTTGGATAATGGCTTTTTAAATCATGCTTAAATATACAAATAATTAAAAACCAAACTTTTTGCATAAAACAAAAAATCTGAGAACAAGGACTCTAGAATTTTAAAAAATAAGTATTTACATTATCATGTCCTATAATACACACTGTACTAGGCTCAAATTTAGAAAAAATGATCAGTGTTTTAATGCAGCCCTTTATTGTAGGTAGTTTAGAATTTTTAAAATATCTACAATTATTACTTCTAATAAAGAGTCCATAAAATAATTTTTATTTTTATTTATTTATTTTTTAAGACAGAGTCTTGCTCCATCGCCAGGCGCCAAGCTGGAGTGCAGTGGCGCGATCTCGGCTCACCACAACCTCTGCCTCCTGGGTTCAAGCAATTCTCCTGCCTCAGCCTCCCAAGTAGCTGGGACTACAGGTGCGCACCACCACGCCCAGCTAACTTTTGTATTTTTAGTAGAGACGGGATTTCACCATGTTGGCCAGGATGGTCTCAATCTCTTGACCTTGTGATCCACCCACCTCAGCCTCCCAAAGTGCTGAGATTACAGGCGGGAGCCACCGCACCCAGCCATAAAATAATTATAAGCCTTTAAAGAAGGAAAACATTCACAACTGCTAGTCAGACGTTTATAAGGAACAATCCCCATCCTACCTACACTGACAAAAACAAAAAAAAAACAAAGAACTGAATTAATGCTCTTTAAAGATAAGACTTTTTTCTTTACCAGTAAGCTGTTACTTTTTTTTTAATTAAAGATGAGGGAGAACAGAGAAATATCAAAACAAATAAATTAGAGAAAAATCTTCAATATTAATAGACTTTAGATGATTCTCTATGTGCACCACAACTCATATATTATACCTAAACACATAAAATATATATCTACACACACACACACACACACACACACACACACAGAGTTATAGTTACCTATGTAGGGTCATTTAAAAAAATAAGTTTGAGGAGACACTGGGACAGAGACCTTAGAAGGTAATTTTGGTTTAAGATCTGACCATGGCACCATGTAAATATTTTACATAATTATAAAACAATTTTTTTTAAGAAACAAGGTCTCTCACTCTGTCACGTAGGTTGGAGTGCAGTGATGCAATCATAGCTCACGGTAACCTTGAATTCCTGAGCTCAAGTGCTTCTTCTGCCTCAGTCTCCAAAACTAGGACTACAGGCACATATCAACATGCCCACTTAATTTTTTAAGTTTTTGGCAGAAATGAGGTCTCACTATGTTGCCCAGGCTGGTCTCGATCTATTTTTTTTTTTAAAACTTTTTTTTTTTGAGACGGAGTCTTGCTCTGTTGACCGGGCTGGAGGGTAGTGGCGTAATTTCGGCTCACTGCAACCTCCACAACCCAAGTTCAAGTGATTCAACTGCTTTGGCAACCCGAGTAGCTGGGACTACAGGCACGCACCACCACAACTGGCTAAGTTTTTGTATTTTTAATAGAGACAGGGTTTCACCGTGTTAGCCAGGATAGTCTCGATCTCCTGACTTTGTGATCCGCCCGCCTCAACCTCCCAAAGCGCTGGGATTACAGTTGTTAGCCACTGCACCCAGCCAACCAGGCTGGTCTCCACTCCTAGCCTCCTGCTATCTTCCTGCCTTGGCCTCCCAAAGTGGTGGGATTACAGGTATGAGCCAATGCACCCAGCTGACAGTTGTTTTTCTAAAACAAATTAATGAAAATCAAAAATAAAATTAAACAAACGAACTTAAGTATATCCAACTGGTGGGACAGCTACAAAGGAAGAAACTATTCCAAGTGACTTTAAAGCACAGTAATTAGATTGTATATCCCTAGTGGAACATACCCTAAGTACAAAGTTTTATTATCAATATTCAGTCTTTTGGTGGTAATGGTACTATTATTGAGACGACTCTGTGTATACTGTGGGATAAATCAAATGAGAAACAATTCTGTTGAGAACCAAGATAAATCTGAATTTGAAGTGGAGATATTTTACTTTTAAAAAAATGCTTATTTACTAGCTCTGTCCATTGAAAAACCTAATATAATGAACAATGCAGGAGCCATGAAGACCATGAGGATCAACCCAACAGCCTAGCACCCCAACTGCAGTCTCTAAATGCCATTTCCCACTCAAAGAAACCACAACTCCTTAGATAAATAGCTGATTTCAGATCTGGGGGCACAAAATGAACAAGATGAACCTAAAACATCTTGTCATATATCATAACAGTAAGCTACCAACAACTACCAGGGTCATGGCAAAAGGACTCAGGAGCCAACCTGAGCCCCACTGAATTAGCCCCACTGGCCAAAATGAAAGGATCTGAGCAGCGATAAAAATTATACCTGCAATGAATTCAAACATATCAAATACATTTACAACCATGAGAGAGTACCATGATACCAAAAACAACACCCAAGACAAACTGGTCACCTGTAGAGGGTGCTAGCAAACCACCTCAATATTTTGAAAACTGGTAAATAAAGGTGAAAACCAAAACCCAATCATTTATCTTGCCTTTCCTTAATACACACTAACCCCAAGGTAACCAAATTACTGATAAGGAGATGTTCCTTTTTATAGGAATAATCTAGCTAATAAATGGAGAGGGAATGATAAAATTAGGAAATCATTTTTCAGTAGAAAATGAATTAATGAACCCAGGGAATAATCAAGACTGAAAGCATCACAAAAATATAAACAACCAGAAAATACTTACTTCTGATAAAAGCTCACAAATTACTTACGAAGGAGAGTTGCCAAAAACATTTTAAAATTTTAAAAAGAGGAAAAAAAAACAGTGAATCTGAATTTGAGTAAGTCTCTAGATCTACAATTAATTCACAGAAAACAGAGAAGCACGTTAAATAACAGGGATGCAACTAGCAAAATCCAGACTATGGGAAACTTGACAAGACAAACTAGCCAATTTCTTCAATTAAAACAAAGGAATATAAAAGAGATGAAAGGGAATCCATGGATAAAGAGAGAACTGAAAGACCTATCAACCAACTGCAATACATAAATCTTATGTGATCCTATCTAAATAAACTGTAAAACACACACCACATACTGCACGTACAATCCTGGACGTTTAAAGACAGGTATTTAAGCTGAATTATGAGTATATCAGGTTCATTATGTTATTTTCTCTACTTTGACCTTCATATTGCTCTAGTCGTTCCTCTTTTCTTTTATGTCCACCCAAGCTTTTAGGCACAATTTGAAGAAAGCAGAAATAATTGTAACATTATGAAACAATTTTGCCATCCTAAATTTAAGTAGTCAAAATATGAAAATTAGCTAAAAGATCACCCTCTATTGTGTAATAATCCTTTTCAAGGTTTCAAACAAACTCCATGAACACTTACCAGAATCTACCTGTGATGAAAGTATCACCAATGACTGTGATGTTTCCAAATCATAAATTACTGCACTACCAGTGTTGAAAGAGGTTACCATATGAGCTGGATCACAGCCTATGAAGTCAACTGATGTAGGTATTCCATGCTCTGAAATGAGCCCAAAGACAGACAATGTAAACAAAGTAATTTTGAAATCTCTACTTTTCTAATCAGAAAAAGGAATTGAAATATTCTTGAAATACTGTTATCAAGAAATATCTTTTCCTCAATTATTTAAAAACTTTATTTATAGCATTTTATTTAACATTATAAGAAAAATGTATCTACAGGGTTCATAAACAGTAAATACATGCAAAAGTTATTTGTTTTACTACACATTTTCTTCTAAAGGATTAAATAAAATCCTAGTCTTTTGGCCAACTTGCCAGTTATACTTCTTACTGTAAAATGATAAATTGGCATTCTCACATAACTGTTTTGGGAGACTGGTTTACTTGTCAGAGATTTCTGTAGGCTTTTATCAAGCAGCTAATACAAGTCAAATTTATGGACTCATGAAAATGGCTTGGACTCTGGAATCAGCTGATGCAGTACTTCCCCCTAAAATGGCCTGAGTAGCAATTTCTCTCCTTAACATACTAAATTAAACTAGCCAAATCAATGCACAATTAAATGAAATATGGAGCCAAGCTAATTAAGTATCTAGATGAAGCCAGAAACAAATACCTAAATGAATTCTTACTTCTAAAGCTTGGATAACTGAAAATTAGTAGGATCACTGAGGTATCTAAGAGACACAAAATTATACATATACTACTCACCTAAAATGTTTTAAAATAATATGTATTTTTATATACAAATAAAAGGTTTAATTTAAAAAATTTAAAATGACTTGGAAAATAAGACCAGTAAATGTCTTCAAAAGGTAAACTGGTTAAATCCTTTTTTAATAGGAAAATACTTAAAATCATTAAAATAACCCAATTTGCACTTTTCCAGTTAGAGGTTCAATAATTATGGCTGGACTGACTGCTCAACTAGGATGCTCAGGGTCATGGAACACATGGTTTATAGGTATGCTTGAGACTATGATCCCTTCAGACTTTGTGGGTTGGGTAGTCGTGTGGAACAGGTGGTGTCCCTAAGAGTATCCTTATTTGTCTACTGCACTATTATATATAAGTAGTTTTACATTTTAAAAAACTGGAATAAAAAAGGAAAAAAAAAAAAAAAAAAAAAAAGCACTGCACTGTGGGATATAGTTGTAAAGCACTTAAGAAAATGACTAGGAGTAAAAAAATGACTAGGAGTAAAAGGAAAAATAAAAAAATAAATTTTACAAAATTATTTCAATATCTTTTTGGAGGAGTAAATAAATCAATTACTTTGCCCTTTATATATTCCAAATTGAAAAAAAAAAAAAAATTTTTCTCACAGATGCAAAATTTACTTACTTTTATCTCCATTGTAAGTGCAAATACATGGCAATTTTTCTTGTGGATTCCATAATCTAACAGTGCCATCTGCTGAACAAGACAGTAATTGATTTTTTATGCCACTATAAGCAAGAGCCCAAACTGCATCTGTATGACCAACTAAAGTGCCAGCTAGAACATTTGGCTCTGGGAAAAAAACAAACAAACAAAAAATTAGGTTAAAGAAGTTTAAAAGATACTTTGATAAAGAAAACTTACCATATAACTGAGTGTTATGAACACAAATAAAGGCCATAAGAAGATAAACCAAAGTGTACACAGTGGCTATATCTAAGAGTAGAGTTATGGCCTATTTTTATCCCCTCCTCCCATCAACATTTTTCTGTATTTTCACAATTTTCAATAAAGAAATATATGCTTAAAAAAAAAAACAGCTTTCTTGAGATATAATTTACATACCATATAACTCACTCATTTAAATTATGTAATTCAATCATTTTTGGTACGTTGTTCAGAGAGTTATATAATTATCATGACAATCAATTTTAGGAAACTTTCATCACTCATTAGTCACTTCCCCCATTTCCTCCTCCCCACCTTTCCATAAGTCTAGGCAACAACTAATACTGTCTCTATAGACGTGTCTATTCTCAACATTTTCTATAAATGGATCATATAATATGTGGTCTTTTGTGACTGGGATCTTTAACTGAGTATGTTTCCTTTCTTTCTTTTTGAAACAGGGTCTTGGCTGGGCGCAGTGGCTCACGTCTGTAATCCCAGCACTTTGGGAGGCTGAGGTGGGCGGATCATGAGGTCAGTTCAAGACCAGCCTGACCAACACAGTAAAACCCCATCTCTACTAACAATACAAAAATTAGTTGGGCATGGTGGTGCACGCCTGTAATCCCAGCTACTCAGCAGGCTGAAGCAGGATAATCACTTGAACCTGGGAGGTGGAGGCTGTAGTAAGTCAAGATTGTACCACTCCACTCCAGCCTGGGCAACAGAGCAAGACTCGGAAATAGGGTCTTGCTCTGTCACCCAGGTTGGGGTGCAGTGGCACAGTCACAGTTCACTGCCGCCTTGACCTCCTCGTCAATGAACATGTTTTCAAGGTTTATCCATGTTGGAGCATGTATCAGTACATTTTTTTTAGTGCCAAATAATATTCTACCATATGGATATATCATATTTTATTTATCTGTTCCTTAACTGATAAGACATTTGACAGCTAATAACATTGAGCATAATTCTCTAGTAAACTCCTCCCACTTTCCATGAATGGTTCTTATCATCTCCACAATTCTCACAGCTCCCAACCTCTCTTCCTCATGAATGACTATGCCTCATACTTCACAGAGAAAATACAGCATTCAAATAATGCTCTATGTTTCTTATCCCCCATCTTCTTGCTACCTAATTAATATATAAATGATTAGGAGTATCTAAAGGTTATCTCCTCCTAGCTTCCAGATACAAGCAATGAATCTGTTCTCCATCCTATCAAAGGCCAATTCCACCAGATGTGTTAGTACCAGATGGCACTAACTTGGTATTATGTTTACTGATTCTCTACTAAACAAACTCTCCTCTTTGGGATCATTACTATAGTGGGGAAAAAAAAAACAAAAAAACACCTTGTTCCAGAATCTCATAAACAAGAAATCTTCATTAATCCTACCCTACCACCCCTTCTACCAAGCGGCAAAAATGTGCTTTTTACCTCCTGTTTACTCTTCAAATCACTCCAGTGGTTTCTGATACCATTACCACACCAAAACAATCCTTACTAAGATGACTAATGACGATTCCTTTACTCTCAAATTTAATACTTTTCTTCAATGATACAAAACATTTTGTTGTTGTTGTTCCTCCTATTATATTGCTTTTTATCCATATAGTCTGACATGAAGACTATATGGATAGTCCCTTCATCCTTCAGTCTTAGCTCCAGCGTCTAACCTCTAAGTGGCCAAGACCTGGGTGACTTGCTAGTCACTTATAAAAAGGAAACTTTCTATCACATTATTAGACCTCTCAGCAACATTTGAAAGTACAGACTGCTTCTTTCTTTTCAAAATGCTTTCTTCTTTAGCGTGCTTCCATGATTTCACACTCTCCTACACTTCCGTCTGTCTCTTGGCTCATACCTCCTCAGTTTCCTTTGTTGGCTCTCTTGCTCTAGCCACCTTTCCAGTGTCAGTTACTGAGGACTTTAGTTCCAGGTTGTCTTCTCTTCTTACATTAAACAATACATTCTCTCTGTATCACACATTCTTACAGCTTAATGTATCATCAGTAGAGAAGACTCTCCATGTTTTTATCTTCAATTGAGATCTCTTTGGGCTCCATATTTGTATATTACCTACTTGATACTGTTATCGTTTAACATGCCTAAAATCTGAACTCACCATCTTAAATCTCCTCACAGCCCCCGTTTCAATAAATGCTCCCATCACATGCTCAGTTACTCTTGTCAAACACTCAGGACTGATAATGAAAATGTTCTGAAATTAGTGATGATGGCTGCACAACTTTGTGAACACAGTAAAAACTACTGAACTGTAGACTTTATTTTTAATCATTAACTTTTTTTTAAGATATGGGGTCTTGTGGCTGCACATTGTGGCTCATGCCTGTTATCCCAATACTTTGGGAGGCCAAGGCTGTAGGATTACTTGAGCCCAGGTATTTGAGAGAACCCTGGGTTACATGGCTACCATTTCTACAAAAAATACAAAAATTAATGGGGTGTGGTGGCTCACACCTGTGGTCCTAGCTACTCAGGAGTATGGTTTGAGTCTGGGCAGCAGAGGTTGCGGTAAGCCAAGAGCACGCCTCTGCCCTCCAACCTAGGAGACAGAGTGAGACGCTGTCTCAAAAAAGAAAAGCACTTCAAAAAAAATGACTAGGAGTAAAACGATTATCGTAACTTTTACAAAATTCTTTCTTTAATTAAATGTTTTATTGAGATATAACTTGCTTTTCAAAAGAAACGAAAGAAAGGAGGGGAAAGGGGAAAGGGAAAAGAGAAAGGGGAAAAAGGAAAGAAAAGGAAGAAAGAGAGATGGGTTCTTGCTCTTTTGCCCAGGCTGGCACCATCATAGCTCACTACAGCCTTGACTTCCTATACTCAAGTGATCCTTCCAGCTCAGCCTTCTGAGCATCTGGGACTATAGGCACATGCCACCACATGTGGCTGATTTTTAAATTTTTGGTAGACATCAGGTCTTACTGTGTTGCCCAGGCTGGTCTCGAAGTCCTGGCCTCAAGTGATTCTCCCGCCACCTCGGCCTCCCAAAGTGGTGGGATTACAGGCGTGGGCCACTGTGCCCAGCCTGAACTGTATACTTTAAAAGGATGAATTTTGTGATATGCAAATTACATCTGTTATAAAGCAGTTAATTAAAAAACACATACAACCAAATTAAGAGTCACTCACTCATCACTTTATCTACTCAACATAATTTATCAATAAATCCTTTCTATTCTACCACACTTCCCCAGTGTATATCTTAAAACCACTTCTAACTGCTCTGCTACCACCACTCTAACCTTGGCAATATTGTCTGTCACCTAGTTTACTGGACTATTGTATGACAGCAGCCTCCTAAATGGTATTTCTCTTTCCACTCTTCTCACCCCCAATTTATTCTTCTCACACCAGACACAGTCACCTTTTTAAAACCTTACATTTATCAGATAACTTCATGGCTTAAAACTCTTTACTGAAAGTAGCTTTTATTCTTCAGATTTTGGCTTGAATGTCACAATTTTAGATAGACCTTTCTTAATTCTTCTAGAGAAGGTTCTGCCTTTTACTCCCTCTTACAGTACTCTATCGTTGTTTTTTCTTTAATTTTTAAAATGGGGAAGAAAAACTTTTATTGGCAACTATCAAAGAGATATTCACAACAAGACTCAGACCCAAGGTAGAGACACCTAAACAGATGATTTTCCCTCAACTCCTCAGGCTTGGAACAGGTTTTAAACCAAGCTGGAGAAATCACTCCAGCTCTGGCCACAAACTAATCTCTACATCCTGGCCTTCATCCTGGTTGGAAGCTGGTTCAGTTCATCCAAGGGCTTAGTTCGAAGGTATTCATGGCTTCCTCAAGTTTGAGCATCCGTCGTTCCTGGTTGCTGGCGGTGCCACTCAGCCATAGGCTGGGGTATCCGCTTGGCCCGAAGCTTGTATGTACAGGAGCTGTAAACCACAACCTCAGTGAAATCTGGAGACTCCAGAGCCTTCAGATCGAGCATGGCCTTGCTCACCTGCTCAATGTAAGGGATTCGACATCCGTCCCGGCCAAACATGGCTTCCAGCAGCCACGTCTGGACCTGGAACACTTCTGGATCTTTCAGGTCTTCGGGAACTTTTACCCATGGTGGGATATTTCTACGTTCCAGGGGCGTTCCCATCTTATGACCCTCACAAACAAAACCCTATCGTCTTATCATTTATCACAATTTGTAACTACACATCCCATCGCCTTGCTTATTTGTTTTATATCTCTACTTTCCATTAGACTAAATCTTATTTCTTGACATAGTACTTACCACAATGCCTAGCTAATGTGGACACAAAGCGTGTGTTAAATAAAAAGAACAGAGTTCACATTTTGTTTTAATGTTTTATAATTATTAACAATGTCCTTACAAATATATTTGAACACAAGTGCAGGTAGGTCTTTTCTGTAGAACAGATTTCTAAAAGCTCCATTTGTAAGTCAAACGAGGTTTTTGTTTGTTTTTTGAAATTAAAAATGTTTTTGTAGATATGAGCTAAGAATAACAAAAATTTTTTTGGCTCCAAAAAGTTGTAATGATTTACACCCTTGCTGTTGTTTCCATTGTCTTTTGCTTGGTATTTTTGAAATATATAAACTATTTCTTAAGTTTAAAATTTTCTTATTTAGATTATATTTTGTTTCCTTCTCCTTTTTGTAACTACTACCTAAATTAACATTTTAATTAATATAGTTTTTTTTTTTGTTTGTTT